CCTCTAGCAAACAATATTTGTGCTTGTTCTTTGCTACCACCAGTAATCATGTCACTGGTTACAATCTTTCGAAGGTCATCCGTTAGAAGCGTCATTCTAGTCTTATCCATCGTTAAATTGTCTCCCACAAGTATCAGTGTTTGCACCAGGTTCTCATAAAACTTCGGCAGAGATAGAAGTAGTAGAAGCGTCTGATCCTCATCTTTAACTATCACGTCTATGTCATTAAGTCTGATATGATCCTATCAAACTTGTTGATGTATTTCCGGATTGATGAGCCCTCCTCCATCTTATAAGTATACAATTTAGATTTTAAATAGATCCAGTTCGTTAGACTCTTCGTCATGAATGTGCTTTCTAACTTTGACCACACGCCCGTAGCCGTTTTCTCTCCATCTACCAAGAAAGCTACATCCCTTTTAAGACAAAGAACAATCGACGCTCGTGCTTCCTGATCCAACTCCTCCCAATCCTTTTCAGACATATCCTTGTGCTTCTTCTCTTTTCCAGCCAAAGCCTTGTGTAATTTTTACGAAATCAACGAGTTTTTTATCTGCATCCTCTAATAGAAAAAATCATTCTTCCCATTGAACTTTTCGATCTCGTATTTTCTAACTTTAACTATTTTGCTAGTTGACGTCATCCTCCGCTTGTATTAATAAATCCTCTTCTCTCAGGAAATTACCGAGCATCACCTCAAATCAGAAACTACACCACTCCCAATCTGAATAACAGCTCTGATACCAATTATTAGGGGTAGAGTAACGCCCTCACGTTACGGAAGCGATATAACCCGAGAGAAAGCCCTCGTTTTTACTTTCACAAAAGCTCAAGCAAACCTCTATATTCCCGTTTCACAAAAAAAAACAAGAATAGAAAGTAAAATATCTCAACAAAGTGAAATATATATTCTTCCACTCATCAATTCTATGACTGACTTATCGAGGGAACCTACAAGCAATAGTCAACACCCAAAAATAGTAAAGATACGAGATTTACGTGGTTCGACAAACTTGCCTACGTCCATGAGAGGGGTGAAGGAAAATTCCACTATAAGGAGAACACCGATGACTTGTACAATCCACAAGCTCGTCTCAAAGATAAAGTTATGATTTTTACCCAAAAGAAATTAACCTCTCTCTTGTAAAATCTCTCCAAGCTCTCTCTTTTTCTCTCCTCATGATCTCTCCTTTAGATCTGAAAAAACTCTCTGTTTTTCTCCTCTAAATAGCCGCCAAAAAACCCTCTTTTCTTCCTTAACAACCGACTAATCCACTCTTGAATCAAAACTCTAAAAAAAATAAAATAAAAACATCAGATATTTATAGCGCCCGACTTCAGCAACTTATGCGCTTGGGTGGGCCGCACCTGGGCTTGCTGCCCCACGCTCGCTCGTGCCAGCGTCTGCTATCTCGTGCACACGTGAGTGGGTGGTCCCCAGGCGCATTCACATTCTTAGATCTTTTAAATTTTATTTGGATAAGACTGATTGAAACACAATGAAATATAAATGAATTGTGATAAGATCATGCTTAGCACAAGCTAAAAACTAATTTGCATTTATTAGAGAATCAATGGTTATGATAATATTGATCTATTCACTATTTTTTTTAAATAATGAAGAAGATCTGAGTCTGTGAAACTTGGCAAACATGCAAAAATACACAAGCTGTAACAAAACAGTGAGTTGAAATTTACTTATTCCATGTTTTCCTCATAATATTTTTTGTGACTGCAGTTGCAAGAAGGAACCGCTTATTTCAGACCCCAAACATTTCTAAAATCATTCTTAAATATAAAATGAATAATTCTTTACAGACCCCAAACATGGGACCATATATGAGAGGAGACGACTGATGTAACCCACATTTATTGTGTTTTTCTATATTCTGGCGCAACTGAACGTAGAAGGTAAGGGTACCGTTGGTATATTTTCAAATATCCGAGGCCTTTCGTCTTCTTTCCCAAATTCGGCACAAACTAAAATTATTGTTTAATCCTATCTTCGGCCAAGGAAAATTAAAAAAAAATTACACCCTTGTGACTTGGGATCTACCAACAAAGAAGGGGAATACAGGATTAATTATTTTGCTCAATGTGATGAAATAGGCTCAGAGGAAACTCTCTAATGGTTAGTTTTTTCAATCTAGATGACAGATTGAAAATTGAAGCAACGTGGTCTTTGTCTATGCTAGTAAGAAATGATATTAAATTATATAGGGAATCAACGTAGCAAGGATATCATCCACAACAAGAAAACCCAAGGTCGAATCAGCTAAATGGGCAGGTGAAAAAGCGTTGACACCGACGGCTTTAGAGTTTAGAGAAGAGGATCCAAGACTAGGTAATTAAGCCGGTGGGCATTCCGGTGAGGTTTAAAAACACAAGGGCAAACATGTGAGGATTCCCGCGGAGGGATTCACGGAGAAGTTCTAAGATAATAACAAGGGAAAAATACTTCCAGTCCCCAAAACCCAAGAAAACGAGCTCCCTCCTAAGACTTTATCAACGAGTGCTTTGCCCCAAAAATAAAGATTTTATTTTCTGAGCCACCAAAACACAAAACCCAAGAAATTAAAATATATGAAGACCATAATATCCTTCTCTCTCTCTCTTTATCATTATGTTACTGATAGTTGAAATGATTGATGTGAATTGTTATTTTATTATTTTTATTTTTTATTATTTTCATTGTTCATAAGGGGAACTAATTGTTTGTATTGGGGAATTGTTAAAGTTACGGGTTAATTGTTAAGGTTGCGAGTTAATTGTTAAGGTTACGGGTCAATTATTAAGGTTATGGATCCCTTCTCTCTCTTTCTCTTTCTCTCTTTTTATCATGATGTTACTCATAGTTGAAATGATAGATAGGAATTGTTATTTTATTATTTTCATTGTTGATGAGAAGAACTAACTGTTTTGTTTGTATTAGGAGATTGTTAAAGTTACGGGTTAATTGTTAAGGTTACGAGTTAATTGTTAAGGTTACGGGTCAATTGTTAAGGTTATGAATCACTTCTCTCTCTTTCTCTCTCTTTCTTTATCATGATGTTACTGTGATGATAGTTGAAATGATTGATAGATATTATTATTTTATTATTTTTTTATTTTCGTTGTTGATGAGAAAACTAATTGTTTTTGTTTGTATTAGAAGATTGTTAAAGTTACGGGTTAATTGTTAATGTTACAGGTCAGTTGTTAAGGTTATGGATCAGTTGTTAAGGTTACGGATCGGTTGTTAAGGTTACGGGTTGGTTGTTAAGGTTATGGGTTGATTATGAAGGTTACACGTTAGGATATATATGTATATATATTTTGAGTAGAATGAATATTTTGGGTCACTTGGCCTAGTGGTAAAGTTTGGGAGTTTGGACAAGAGGTTAGGAGTTCAAACCCCTACAGCCATAATATTTTTAGAATATTCGTTGTTAAAGATAATGGTTGGTTGTGAAGGTTATGCATTGATTATGAATGTTACGGATTATTTGTTAAGGTTATGAGTTTGTTGTTAAGGTTACGGGTTTGTTGTGTAGGTTAACTTCACAATCAAAGCGTAACATTCACAATCAACGCATATCCTTAACAAAAAACTCGTAACCTTCCCAACAAACTCATAACCTTAACAACCAACCCATAACCTTAACAATCCTCATCAACCATTTCAACTATCATCACTGTAACATCATGATAGAGAGAGAGAGAGAGAGAGAGAGAGAGAGAAGGGATCCAAAACATTAACAATTAACTCGTAACTTTAACAATTAACCCGTAATTTTAACAATCTCCCAATACAAACAGTTAGCTCCCCTCATCAACAACAAAAATAATAAAAAACAAAAATAATAAAATAACAATCTCCATCAATCATTTCAACTATCATCTCAGTAATATCATGATAAAAAGAGAGAGATGGAAGGGTATTATGGTCTTCACATATTTTAATCTCTTGGGTTTTATGTTTTGAGGGCTCAGAGAACAAAATCTTTATTTTTGGGGGCAAATCACCCGTTGACAAAGTCTTGGGGGGAGTACATTTTCTTGGATTTTGGGGGCGATACACTTTTGTTTGACAAAATTACCCTTGCTCCCTATCAATGGGCATTAGTAAAATCCGGCTGTAGATGACTGGCGGACAGTCAACCTTAGCTGTCCCATAAATTAAAACTGTCGGTTCTCCTAGAATCGCACATCTGAAATATCAACTTTATTATTTGTCAACCGGACTTATATATTTTAGCATTTATGTTTTACTATATATAGTCTTGTCTAATTTAATTGATATACTTACGTTTAAGTCATTACATTTTCGGTGTAAGTTGGTAATTGTAGGCTAATTTGCTATGTTTTTTAAATGCCATATAGCCATATGGGAAACTAATAAAATATAAAATTGAGTTTTAAGATAAAATCATATTCATCAAAAATAAAATAAAATCATAGATATTTTGGGTTTGAGAATGATTTTGAAAGGGATGTGTTAAAAAAATAAACGACAGTACTTAATTTGGTTTAAAAGAATGTATATATGTCATTCTTCCATTATCTACAACACAATATATAATATGTCTGGAGCAAACCCTGCTCTTCACCTTGGGCAAATTTTTAGATAATTGAATTTTGAACTTCTATAGATTAATTACTCAGTGATTTCCACCCTAATACTTTTTTCTTCTCCCTCATGCACTCTTATTCCAAATTGCTATGTTTGTTATTTTTTTCTAATTTAGAGTGCAACGTTTTGTGCGGAAGCAAAATATACTATTAAACTAATAGCAGTGCAATATGATTGGTGCAACAATGTTATAATACTAATTAAGTATCGATATATCGCATTAGATAAAGCTAGTTTTACCGTTCTAATAACGAAATTAATTATTTAAATTCCCCACCTCCCCCTACTCCGAGGTGTGTCCCCCCCCGGGTGGGGTGGGGGTCGGGATGGGGGGGGGGGGGGGGCACCTACCTCATCACTTACCTATAATTATAAATGCCAATAATGCTGTGTGAACCCACATTCACCTTACCTCTTCTCTTCTGTTCTCTCCCTCCTTCACAATAACATAATCATGTCTTACACAAACTCTAATCCCAACCAATTACCCACCCTCAACACTTTTAAACTAGACCCCCTTACCCCCTTCAACCGCCTCCACCTCCTGCTCTACTCCTTCTCCCTCCTCCTCCTCTTCTACCACCACCTCACCTCCTCCTCCCCTCTCCTCCTCATCCTCTCCGACCTCATCCTCGCCTTTCAATGGGCCTTCACCCAGGCCTTCCGCTGGCGTCCCATCCGTCGCCGAGAATTCCCCGATCGAATTCCCGACGACAACCTTCCCTCCCTCGACGTATTCATATGCACGGCCGACCCTTGGAAGGAGCCGCCGATGACCGTCGTTAGCACTGCGCTATCGGTTATGGCGTATGAGTATCCTCCGGATAAGATATCCGTGTACGTTTCGGACGATGGGGGCTCGGACTTGACGCTGTTTGCTTTCATGGAGGCTGCTAAGTTTGCCAGGTACTGGCTGCCCTTTTGCACGGAGAACGGGATTGTTGAAAGAGCTCCGGAGGCTTATTTTGGATCCAGTTCTGTGAGTGGTTCTGGCTCTGACGAGGAGATAAAGGTACGCGTTTTTAGCTTAGTAGTTGGTAAAAAACCCGGATAAATATCAGAAAAAACCCCTTGACATTGGACGACTGTTAGATAATCTTACATTACTATCAAAATATCGTAAAACACCCTTAAGTTTAGTAGTTATTAGAGAACTTCCTTTAACTTCAAGATTTCACATATAATCCCCCAAAAAGTGTGCATCTCAAATTTCAAATTTCGCTGGAGAAAATTTCCCCCTGCCTAATGTTACACACCAATGTGGAAAATTGCGTTTAAACATCATTAGTAGGACTTCTGATAAAATCGTAAAGTTAAAGGAGGCTTTCTGTTAACCTCTAAACTTAAAAATGGTTTTCTAGTATTCTGAAAATTATGGAGAATTATCTGGTAATTGTACAAATTTAAGATACTTTTTCTGATATTTAGTCTTTTCTTTTTTGTGAATAATGTACAATAAAGAATTTATCTAAATTTCTCTCCACTGAAAAAATTAAAGTATTAAAGAGACTACTAATTTTAATTTCAAAGGTTTGTTCGTTAGTTTTTAGTTGTGATTTGTCTTAATAAAAGTGAAAGTAAGTGTAATATGAAAGTGAGTATAATATACAATTATATCATAGTTTTTCAAATTTGTGATAAAAGCAGCATGGTCCACTAAATATAAGCATAATAAATATTTGTGATCGTATTGAGCCAGGTGACTAACCAAATATGACCAAATACAAAAATATGTATCATGTCTTGTAATCTTATACAAGTAAGTATATAGAACTGCATAAAATTATAAAATCAACGTTGTAATTAAGAGACTTATAATTAAGATAATCGTTTCGGGCAAAACAAAATATTCATAGACAAACAACAAAATATGAGTAAAAGATTTAAACCTGAAAGATATGAAAATAATCTTTTTTTAATATGGAAAGTATCGAAATTTCATTAAGATATCAGGATAAATGCATCATTTTGAATATCGGTCACAAAAAATAATACCTACGGTTGAAAGCCCAATAACAAGAACAAGTACATCGCACGAGGATAAATGCATCATTTTGAATATCAGTCACAAAAAATAATACCTACGGTTGAAAGCCCAATAACAAGAACAAGTACATCGCACGAGCAATGCGCGTGGGTGTACAGTGGGTCCATCCATGGACCATGTTGAAAGAGCCATGTTATAGAGAGTTCAAATCTAATAGTTGTTCTTGTATAGGAGGAGAGAGATCAATGGGGGATGGAAATAAGCATACACGACAAATTTACAAAAGTAAACTAGGACCAATCCGCAACGTGATGATGTTTTGTTTTATATATCATATTTATTTATACAAATTAGTTATAAAATATAAGCCTACATCTATTGTTTTTGTGAGAGAAAAATAAAGTTGATATCTCTTATGCTTCAATTTAAATTTATGATACTTTAGGGGCCAGCTTCATTCATAATAGCGGAGCTTACCATAGTTGCTTATATAGACATCTTGTAGAAGCAACTTATATAAATTGTTGAATATAATTATTTTATAATCATATATCACAAGTTGTTTCCAAAAATAGTTAACATATTTTGATAAAAATTATGCTTAAAGATCATTATGAGTCGAAATGACCAATATAGACATAACTTCATTTATTCATAGTAAATGACATTTTAGGACAAATAAGATAATATATATGTTGATGCACGGATGCATAACAGCGGGATTCGGGGCTGATTCTGAAGAGCTTAGGGTCGCTTGACCTCCTTTGAAGGCCAATCCCTTAATAGGAGGAGTGTCCTGCATGCATGCAACATGTTAGAGAACCAAAGTTGGGTTCTTCGGTGATTCCTCTAATTACCAAGTTAGTCATAATCTAAAGGGGATCAAGGAATTGATATAGTTCTCTCTAAGTGTGCTGAAATTGCGTACATTTGGGTAGTAAGTGATTTGTCTAGTTATACCTAGCTGACAAGGGTATTTATGTAAGTTCGGCCAAGTTCAAGCAGTTAGCTGACTCGGCTGAAACTTTTCATGTGTCAAATGTAGGTGTGATGAGTCACCCTTGTGATTAATGTGACGGTGAAAGAGGGTCCTAGGTCTGTCGTGGTCCGATGAGTCATCAAGACTTTCGGCGTGGGTGTAATGATAACTCCGCCCATGCATTTAATGTGATAGTGACTTGTTGTCAGTGAAGGGTTCGAGAATGTCGCCTTTTATCTGGGCCTAGCGAGAAGGTATACCTGTCGTCTCGACCTATCGAGAAGAGACGTTTGTTGTCTCGGCCTGGCGAGAAGGGACGCCTGACGTCTCGGGTTAGCGAGAAGGGACGCCTGTCGTCTCGGCCTAGCGAGAAGGGACGTCTTTTGTCTTGGCCTGTCTGAGTCGAGTTTGGGTGTAGTCTGCTTGAGACATGTGTTAGCCAGTCAAATGTGATTAATACTTGCTTATTTCTTTAGCATAACACTAGCCCCTTTCGGTCGAACTCGGGTGAGATGAAAGGGACCCTTTCTTGCCAGACAGAGACCAAAGGCGTCCATTCTTGCCAGGGTGAAAAGAGAGGCGTCCCTTCTCGCTAGGCCAAAATGAAAGGCGTCGCTTCTTGCCTGGCCAAGATGAAAGACATACCTTTTCGTTAGGCCGAGGCGAAGGTGCCAAATTGTTGATGCACAAATGCGTAATAGCAGGATTCAGAGTTGATTCTGAAGAGCTTAGGGTCCCTTTACCTCCTTTGATGGCTAATCCCCCGATAGGAGTGTTTGTTGGGAAAATGAAAGAAGACAATTGAGAATTAAATTTGTATTATTCTCTCTGACAAACTCAAAAAAAAAGAATTAATTACAAATTACAATCTCTCTTTGCAATCTCTCTCTAACAAATTTAGAAAAAGAAATTACAATTCTCTCAATCGGTTTCCCAAATTACAAAAGAGAGAAAGAACAACGGAGATTCTTTCCTTTGTTTAAAACTAGGTTTTTCATGGTAGCGATGAGATGCCTCCCTCGAAACTCGTGTCGAGTTTGCTTTTCGTTGACGATCTGACGTTTAAACTCGTGGAACACGGTTGAATCTGATTGATGTCGAGGATAACTTACGTAGCAAGTTTGAAAATAACTCTTAACAAGTTAGGGAACTCTGAGCGAGTTATAACTCTGTGGAAGAGTATATTGGTTTAACCGAAATCGGTTTCAAGCCAAAGAACCCAAGAGTAGCTCCAGAAGATCCGAATATTGCCAAGATCCAATCTGCCAAAGAGATCTCTCATGATTCCAAAAAGTCAGTCTTTAATTCAGTTGAGTTTTTTTGAGATTTATAGGGGGATTAAGAGGTGTAACTGCCCTCTTAATTCGCTCCTAAGTAGGGGAGTAATCCCCTCAAATCATGAAAAATAGTTTTAAAACCGTTCAGATCATATTTGAACGAGTCAAATGCAAAATCCGTGTTCTGGCATAAATTCTGCGTTCGAACGTAGTGTCTGGAAGCTCGAACACAGCGTCTGGAAGCTTGGACGCAGTGTCTGGAAGCTGCGTTTGTAGCATCTGGAAGCTGCATTTACAGCGATTTGGAAGCTGCGTTGGCATCTTGTTGGAAGCTGCGTTGGCAACTTGGAAGCTGCGTTTGGCAGCAGATGAAAGTTGTGTTGGCAGTAGTTAGAAGCTGCGTTGTCAGCATTTAAGAGCTGCGTTTGGTAGCGGATGGAAGCTACGTTGGTAGCATTTAAGAGCTGCGTTTGGCAGCGTTTAGGAGCTATGTTTGCAGCTGGATTGAAACTGCATTTGTATTGCTTTGACTCTGGAACGAGGCCACTTGCGTTTTAATTTGAAGAGACCGTCAATTTGTAGTTTCTTTTTCTAGAGCATTGCAAAGATCTTCATTCTGTAACCTTCGTCTTGGCTCCTTAAAAATATGAGAGTCGTCATATTGTAACTCCTGATGTTGATTGTGACGGCTGTTGAATTAGAGCTTTCATCGGTTGTTGTGAAGGTCATCAGATTATAACCTTCATCGACCTACGTGAAAGTCTTCAAATTATAACATTCTGAAAGTTATCAAATTATAACTTTAATCATCGGTATTTGATGAGGATTAGCTATCTGTAGTAATTTTTAGACAGCCTACAAGGAGGAGCGTCCTGCATGCATGTAACATGTTAGAGGACTGGAGTTGGGTTCTTCAATGATTCCTCTAACGATTAAGTTAGTCACGATCTGAAGGGGACCAAGGAACTGATATAGTTCTCTCTAAGTATGCAGAAATTTCATACGTTTGGGCACTAGGCGATGTGCCTATTTATACCCAGCTAACGAGGGTATTTATGTAACTTTGGCAAATTCCAAGCTGTCAGTTGATTCGACTAAAACTTTACAGGTGTCGGTTATGTGTGGCATGAGTCACCCTTGTGATTAATACGATGATGACAGAGGGTCTCAGGTGCTGTCGTGGTCCCATGAGTCATTAAAATTTTTCGATAGGGGTGTAATGATAAATCCGACTATGCATTTAATATGATGGTGATTGGCTATTAATGAGGATTTCAAGAATGACCGCCTTTTGTCTCGGTCTCGTGAGAACGAACGCTCGTCGTCTCAGCCCAGCAAGAAGGGACGCATTCGTCTCGGTCTAGCGAGAAGGGACGTCTCTCATCTCGGCCTGTCTGTATCGACTTGGGGTATATCTGCTTAAAACATGTGTCAGCCAGTCGAATGTGATTAATAGTTGCTTATTTCTTTGGTACAAACAATATATATAGTCAAAAGCAAAGTGTCACAGACTTAGTCTTTCTAAGCTCACATACATCAATTAGCAAGTATTTCACTAATAACTCACTAAGTTCAGCTCTCTATCACTCACTCAAAGACATGCTAACTAGTTAAAGAAAGAATGTAAGACAAAAAAAGGAAAAGAGAACTATTGTAATGTACTCACAAAGGATTACAACTTTGGAGGGATGGTTTGTCAAATGAAGCTCTTCCATTATTTATAAGCCTCGGTCCTCAATAATAGAAATTCTCTAGAATTATGTATATAT